GCATTGGCAGATATTTAAGAATACATAGAATCAACTCTCAAAATACAGGGGTTGAAGGGAAAGTGCCAGGCAGATCCAACACCAAAAGTCTTCAAATCACCCATGAAAATTTGGTCATGAAGGCAACCAAAGAAGAGTCACCCCTCAATGGAATACATGTAAACAGTGATGAGCTACACCTCCAATCACAAGCTGGTTCTTTCCTATGCTTAGGAGAGAAACAGACTGTGACTGGAAGAGCAGCTAGCAGTTGATAAAGTCAGCGCTAACATTGAAGGAATCATCAGGCAACTGACATTTGATAGGAGTCCAAGACCAAGGTGTATGAACGGGGTACATAAGCCAGGGTTGGGGAGCCAAGACCAATGATCAGGAACTGGCAAGGGCCAGGAAAGTGGGGCACCAAGAAGCGTCTTTGGCCAAAATGGTGGGCATTTTCCTAGGGACAGCAGGGTGCAGGGAGACAGGTTGCAAGAGGTGTATGGGTGATAGAAGCATGCTGCAAAAGCAGTGCTTAGGGGCAAAGTATGTGTAAAAGAGGTGCAAGTGTGAAAGAGGAGGAAACGTGTGTAGGGGAGGAGGTGGACGATGTGGGTCGGAGAGAAAAGGGATAGGCAAGCAGATTGGGGAGAGGAGAGGGCTGCAAGCGGCGTATGTTGTAAGAAAAATGGGCTGAAACTGGAGTAAGGAGGGAAATAGAAAAGATATTGGGGGGGCAAGAAACAGAGGCTGCAAGAAGAGTGGAATGAAGGCGGTTGCTTGTGCGGTGAGCAGTCGAAGGGAAGGCTGCAAAAGGAGAGGGAACCATTTTAGACTTATCCACAAAAGGTATACACCACTAACTGAGATCTAAGATAAATTTAAATCACTGATGTAATTAATTATTTGCAAATAAATGTGGAACCTTTAGTTTAAGGTTGTGTAACTTCAGGAGCTATTACACATGGAAAAATTGTGATGGATTTTACTGAAATAAACAACAGCAATTGTTAAATTTGAATTTCAGATTGTGGTCTCAGATACAGTAAATAGGGTCATACATCTTATTAGCATTTTGATTTGATTTTATCGGATTTGATTTATTTATTGTCACTTGTATATTGTTACAAAATACAGCGAAAAGTGCTGTATAGTGTTGCCACTCTGCGGCGCCATCTTAAAACACAGAAAAATAAAGCAAAAGATAAAAGGTAGAAAAAAGGAAGAAATAAAGAAAGAGTGTTCAACTTTACTTGTGAAGCATAAGAAATGAGAACAGGAGTAGGCTGTTCAGACCCTAGAACCTGTTCCACCATTCAATGGGATCGTGGCTAATCCGACACTCCATACATCCATATTACTGCCCTTTCCCAGTAACCTTCGATTCCACTACTGATCAAAAATCTAGCCCAGCATTAAATATACATTTGGACTCTGCTCCAACAGCTCTCTGTGGCAAAAGGTGCCAAATACGTTCAACTCTCAAAAAATTAATTGAGTTATACAGCACAGAAACTGTCACTTGAGCCCACCATGTCTATGCTGACAAATGAACTACACCAATCCGATTTATCTGCACGCATAGCCTACTATGACCTGGCATTTTAAGTACTCATCCAGATGTTTCTTAAATGTTGAGAGAGTGACACCATCACCTCAGGCAGCACATTCTACTTTTCATCCTCTCAGTGAAAATATTTCTTCTCAGATGTCCTCGAAACCACTTACTCCTCACCTTAATCTTGTGTGCTCTGTTCTTCAACACATACTTACAATCCCCTCATCTCAGTCTTAAATTGATGCCCCACTGTTCTGATATCATGCCCTCCAGTGCTAGACTCTCCCATGACAGGAAGAATCCTCTCAGCATTTACCCTGTCAAGCCATTTAAGAATCCTACATGTTTCAATGAGATCACCTCTCATTCTGTTAAATTCGTGAGTAGAGTCCCAAACTGTTTAGCATTTGCTCATAAGATAATCCCTTCTAGTGAACCTTCTCTGAACTGCCACCAATAATATATTTGCTGAAATAAGGGGACCAAAACTGCTCACAGTAGTCCTGAAGTGGTCTCAGCAGCACCTTGTAAAGTTGCAGAAAGATTTCCCTACTCTTATACTCCAACTCCCTTGAACTAAGGGCCAACATTCCATTAGCCTTGCTGATTACCTTCTGCACCTGTATCTTAGCTTTCTGCATTTCATGCACAATTACTGCTAGGTCCCTCTGTGTCGCAACTTTCTGCAATCTTTCTCCATTTAAATAATATTCTGTTCTCCCTTCCAAAATGAACAACTTCACATTTTCTTCACATACGAACTCCATTTGCCAACTTTTTGTCCACTTACATAACCTATCAATATCTCTGTAAACTGTATACCTCTCACAACCTGCCTTTCCATCTATTTTTATGTCAGCTGCAAATTTGACTACAATACATTCAGTTCCTTCCTCCAAGTCAATAATATATATTGTAAGCACTTGCAGTCTGAATACTAATCCCTGTGGAACCCAGATTCAGCAGATTAAGTTTGCAGATGACACCAAAATTGGTGGCATAGTAGACACCGAAGAAGGTTTCCTAAGATTACAAAGAGATCTTGATCAATTGGGTCAATGGGCCAAGAAGTGGCAGATGCAGTTTAATTTGGATAAATGTGAGGTATTGCATTTTGGTAAAAACAAACCAGGGCTCAACTTATATAATTAATGGTAGGGCCCTGGGTAGTGTTGTGGAACAGATAGACCCAAGGGTTCCAGGAGTATAATTCTTTGAAATTTGCATCACAGGTAGACATGGTATTTAAGGCGGCATTTAGCACACTTCCCTTCATCGCTCAGATCTTTTGAGTATAGGAGTTCGGACGTCACTTTGAGGTTGTACAGGACATTGGTGAGGCCTCTTCTGGAATACTGCGTGCAGTTCTGGTTGCCCTCCTAAAGGAAGGATATTATTAAATTGGAGAGGCTGCAGAAAGAAATTACCAGGATGCTGTGGGAATGGAGGTTGGAGTTATAAAACTAGGCTAGATAGGCTGGGACTTTTTTCACTGGAGTGTAGGAGGTTGAGGGGTGACTTCAAAGAGGTTTATGAAATCATGAGCAGGAAAGATAGCAAGGGTCTCTTCCCTAGGGTGGGGGTGTTAAAAATATGCCTGCTAGTTTTGAAAGTGAAGAGAAAGTTTCATAAAGAACACGAGGCGCAACTTTTCTTTTTAAATACATAGAGTGATTCATGTGTGATTCAACTGCCAGAGGAAGTGGTGGATGTAGGTACATCTGGATAAGTCAATGAATAAGAAAGGATGCAGGGATATGGGCCAAACACAGGCAAGTGGGACAAGTTTAGTTAACATGGTCGACGTGGACTGGCTGGACCGAAGCGTCTGTTTCTGTGCTGTATGATATGAATTATTTGCACTTTTTCAAATGTCCATTTTACTGCACAATGGCAAGTTAAAATTGTTTTTCATCCTGAATTATACTGGTTTTAATTTTGTTTGGAGGGGCTGGCAAGACTAGCATAATTCTTTTTGACGTTTGTGAATATAGTTTAAGGACTAGCAACACAGATAGAAAATTAGTTGCTAGACAGGAAACAAAGTATTTTGCTCCTGTTCAGATTCAAGTTTGAAGCATTATACTTTAGGTATGCAATCTGTACATTGATAATAAACAGTGAGAGATTTGGCTAATCTTGGTGATGATTGCAAAGCTTCAAAGCCATTTAGGTAGACTTGGTAAGCCTCCATTTAACGGGGGCTCTTCATTCTAAATGCAAAGTTAGTAAACAGATGATCGATTGTGCATACTTCTGTTCATATGTATTCTGCTGTGTGTGTGTGTGTGTGTGTGTGTGTAGTATCATTTAAAGTTAATTTTATTTAGAATCAACTATACAACCAGGCCAAAAAAAATTTGGAAAGCACAGATGAAAATGACAGTTGTGCTATCTGTTGCTATCTGGTCAATTTAATCAAATAAAGACTAAGTGTATCACAGAGCAATTAAAACAACCTCACTTGAATTCATGTTACTTTTAGCACTTATGTTACCTACAAATGAATACTTTTAATAGATGTTTATGTTTTTAGCAATGAGACAATTTCATCTCTTTTGCATGAAAGCTGCTGCACTGTTGTTGCATCCATGGCTGAGGGGGCAAGTAAAATCTATAATCTTTCTGACTCATGGAAATAATTTTTCCAACACTGCCCAAATCAGAGAAGAAGCATCAGCAAAGATGCCAGAGAGATGGTTGATATGTCAATTTCAATATTCCCAAATTCCTGACACTCAGGGAACATTGCATTAAATTTGAAAATAGCAAATGAAACTCCTTTACTCAAAGAGGAAAGGGAATAGAAAGCAAGCCAGCTAGCTTAAAATCAGTCAAACAGATAATGTTAGAATCTATTATTAAGGAAGGTTTACGATGTCTGCAGTATTTTGCTTTTCATACCTGGAATGGACAGCTTATTTTATAAGGAATGGTGAGACAAAGTAGACTTCTATCTGCTAGAGTTTAGGAGAGTAACAGGCAACTTGATTAAAACATGAAATCCTAATGGATCTTGATAGGATATTTCTGGAACGGACAGAATCTAGGTTTACTATTCAAAAGTAAAGGACAGCCCATTTAAGCCAGAAATAAGGGAATTTTTTTTTTTAAATCACAAAGGAACACAAGCCTATGGAACTCTCTCAAAAAGCAGCAGACACAGATTCTTTGAAAATTTTTAAAGCAGGAGGCAATAGGTTCTTGATAAAGAGGGCAGCACATTATTGAAGGTAGGCAGAACTATGGAGTAATCACATTACCGATGATCACACTGAATAATAGCACAGAAGGCTGAAGTGGCAGAGAGTTCTATTCTTGCCATTAATTCATAAGTTCAAGTCCACCATTAACTTGAGTATCAAGACATAGGAATGTGTGCTTTATCAGAAAACTTTGCTCAGAATAGCAGGGTATTCTGCATTATTTTAAGTTCAGTCCATTTTGTTCATATTAACATTACCTTTTAGGCTTGAACACAACCTTCTGTCCACCTTCAAGAACAAGTAGAGCCTTTAGCTGGGTTCCTTTATAGCCTACATCAGCTTTAATGATCTTTTTTGTGGCCATGGCATGTAGAATGGCTCCAAGCTCTGGCGTATCCTCTGGATACACCTCCCTGGGAACAACCCACTGTGCTGCTATCTCCCATGGCGATTGCAGTGTATGCTCCAAATTTGGATTCAGTTCAATCTTGAGTTTATCCATCATGTGCTGAAAGGAGTGCTGATCTTCTCGGTTTGCTGCAGAAGAGTCTGAGTTGTCAATCAGAAACACTTTTGTAAAAATGAAAATAACAAGGAGGATAGCTAGCAGAATAACACGTTGCTTCAGCTTCATTGTGGCCTCAGATTTAAGATTGTTACTGGTATCACAAATTATCCCAATACAAAAAAATTGATGTGGCAGCCCAACATTAGCTTCAGGTGAACTCTGTTGTCACTTTCATGCCAATTGTTGCTGTCCTGAAAGAAAAGAAAGATACCGTCAATAGAAGTATTTTTCATAATGTTTCAAAGCACATGACTTACAAGCAGTAGAGTGGCTGGTTTTGAATCAGACATCAATAAATTAGTTGATAGACAAATCCAATCCGTGTTATAGACTGCAATAAGCTTGATCAATTTGCATCTGATCAAAAACACATATCCAATGCTGTCCAGCAAAGAAAATGGGAAACAACAATTGTATTTCAAAAAGCAAAGGCAAGCACCAGAATTATTTGCGAATCTGATCAACTTTTCCCACTGGCAAAATGCAGAGTTCTTAATTGGCAAGGAAACAAAACTAGAAAATGTACCTCAGCCTCAATTAAAACCAAGATTCCTAGGTCCTGGAATAATTATCACTTGTCTAAATTCTCTCTAAAATCTGACAGTTACATCTAGTGTATAATACACTGAACTACACAATAGCTTGGCATGGCTAAAATTAATTGTTGCAACTTATACCCAAATATCCTTGAAACATAAAACTTCTGTACGGTTATTAGAGCTTCGCATGTAAGAAAAGAGGCTGAAGAAGTTTTAACTCATTTTTAAAAAATAAATAAGCCTCTGTGTTATAAGACCATGAGAAATAGGAAAAGGATTAGGCCCCCCGAGCCTGCTCTGCCATTCAGTAGGATCATGGCTAATCTGACATTCCTCATGTCCAGTTTCCTGCCCTTTCCCTCTAACTCAGCCTTAAATGTACATAAGGATATACAGCCCTCTGTGACAAGAAGTTCCAAAGAATTCCAACCCTCAGATGAAATTCCTCATTTCGATCTTAAATTGGCACTCCTGTATTCTGAAACCATGCCCCCTGGTCCTAGACTCACCCTGTAGGAGAAACATTCTCTGAGCATTTAAACCTGTCAAGTTCCTTAAGAATGCTGTATGTTTCAATGAGATCACCTTTCATTCTTCCAAACTCCAGTGAGCGGAGTCCCAAATGGTTTAGCCTTTGCTCAGAAAATAATCCCTCTATATCAGGGATCAGCCGAATAAATCTTCTCTGAACTGTCTCCAATGAAACAATATTTTTCCTTAAATTAGAAGACCAAAACTGTTCACAGTATTCCAGATGTGGTTTTCCAGCACATTGTACAGTTACAGTAAGATTTCCCTACTCTTTTATTCCAATCCTCCGTGTGTTAGCTTTCAGTATTTTGTGCTAGTGTGTATTCAGGCTCTATCCTCAACACCAAGACAATATTAGCAAAAACTCTTTGAATTTAGTATTTGGGTTATCCTGACTCTAAAATAGAGGGGCAATAGATTTGCAAGAGATGTCAAGGCGGTTTTGTTTTGAGGAAAAGGATACTAAATTCAATTGGAAGAACAAAGAAACACGAGATAGAGGATTATAGTTATAGATTCTTTGGCTGCTTGAGCCTGTTCATCCACTGAATTACTCAGATCATGAATGATTTGCACCTCAAGTCTTTTTATTGAATTCCCTTTGTAGATTTTAGTTGGGTAAGACTACCTACCTCAGTCTAACAAATTTCAATTGAATTAGCACACAAGATTTTGAGGGAGTGTTCCAAATTTCCACCATTCTTATGTAAACTGTGCTGTACAATTTTCCACATGAATGGCTAAGCTCCATATTTATGCACTGACTGAGATACTAAATCAGTGTACTGCATCTGTATTTACCAAAAAAGATGCTGGAAAAAAAAAGGTGAAAGAGCAGCAGCTTAGACAACCGATACGTTTAAAATTTGATAAAGAGCTACTAAACAGGCAGACTATACTTAAACATGCTCTGGCAACCAGGACCAGATGGCATACATCCAAAGATCCTTAAGGAATCAAGTGCGGAAAATCTGGTGGCACAGATTATAATTTTCAAATCCTCCTCAGATTCAGGAATGGTCCCAGAGAAGTAGAGAATTGAAAATGTTACATATTTGTTCAAACAGCATATACAAGCCAGTCAATCCAACCTCAGCATTGGGCAATTTTTTTTTGAAACATCATATAGGAAAACGTGGGTTAATTTTAAAAAGACAGTACAGATCTGTCAAATGAAAAAAGGTGTTTAATTTTAACTTGCATCAAAGTTTTGATATGGTAACAGGAAGGGTAATTGTAATATGGTTGATGTGGTGTACATGGATTTCCAAAAGGTGTTTGATAAAGTGACAAACAGATCAAAACTAGGACTCCTGGAATAAAAGGGTCACCAGCAACTTGTTCGTGAAATTGTCTGAGTGACAGGAAACAGAGACTTGGGCAAAAAGACAATTTCTAGTTTTGAGGATGATACAACATGTGTAAGTTTTGTGAACTGAGGAGGATAGTGTAAAACTTCTAAAGGGACCCAGACTGTATGCATTTATCTTTTTCAACTTCTATGTGGATTTGAAATAAAAACAAAAAGTTGGAGATATGAAGCAAGTCTGTCAGCATTTAGAGGGAGAGAAAGAGAGTGAACACTTCAAGTCCAGTGACTCCTCTTTGGAACTGATGACGACTATTCGCTTTCTTTTGTTACCTGCAATTAGATTGCTCATATTTCTTCTGAGTGTACCATCTTGGGTACAATCCAGAAAAGGCCTTTGATTTGTGTCTCCCTGAACATAGTCTTTGACCTTCATTTAGTTTCCATTGATTCATAGTACAGTATCCCCTATTGTTGTTTCTTGCTTGTTGTGTTCTGTAGGATTTCCCTCTGTCCTACATATATTTATAATCTTGGACATTTAGTCCTAGAAGTAATCACTTGGATAGGGCTGTGTCTTCCCATCAGGAACCCAGATGGAAATGATCCACAAAGTGATGGAGTTCAAGAGCACTACTTCAAATTTTGCATTTTTTCCCCATTCACAGGGTTGTGGGCATTGCTGGCTCAGCCAGCATTTATTGCCAATCCCAAATCATCATGGACAAGAAAGTGATGAGCTACTTTTTTAAATCATTGCAGTCCTTAGGGTATAGGAACATCCACAGTACTGTTGGGAAGTGAGTTCCAGTATTTTGAAAGAGCAACAGATGTTCTGTGGCTTGGAGGGGAACTTGCTACAGTGGATACATCTCCTGCCCTTGTCCTTCTAGATGGTAATAATTGAGAGCTTGGAAGGGACTGTCGAAGCAGGTTTGGTGAGTTACTGCAGTCCATCTAATAGATGGTACACACTTATGCCATGATGCATTGGTGATGAATGGAGGAATGTTGAAGCTGGTGAATGGGGTGACGATCAAGTGGGATGCTTTGCCTTGGACAATGCCGAACTTGAGTATTTGTGGAGCTGCAGCCATCTGTGCATGTGGAGAGTACTCCATCACACTCCTGACTTGCACCTTGTACAGTCAGGTTGAGAGATACTGGTCACAGAATTCCTATTCTCTGACCTGCTCTTGTAGACACAGTACCTACACATACTTTTTTAAGGTTGGTTCAGTTCAGTTTCCGGTCAGTGGTTAGCTCCAGGATCATGTTATTAAGGTGTTCAACAATGGTAATGCCACTGAATGTCAAGGGGCAATAAATCAGGTCTCTTGGAGATGGCTGTTGAATGGCACTGGTGGCACAAATGTTACCTGCGACTCATCAGCCCAAGCCTGGAGGATGTCTAGTTCTTTCTGCGTTTGGACACTGATTGCATAAGTATTTACATAGTCGCTAATGGTGCCAGTGAACATCACTACCTTTTGACCTTATGGCAGAAGGCAGGCGAGTCCAGAACACCCTTCACAGGACCTCCTGGATAGAACCTCAACAACCACAACCACCTTTCCTCCTGCTCGATCCCATATACTTGCTGCCCTTCTGCTTTTAGATGGAAGTGTTTATGGGTTTGGAAGGAGTTTGGTGAGGTTGTAGATATGTTCGCCGAGCCGGTGGGTTTGGTTGCAAACGTTTCATCGCAAACATTTCGTCACCCTGCTAAGTAACATTGTCAGTGTGTCTCCAGTGAAGCGTCAGCATTCTGTCCCACTTAATATTTATATGCCTCAGTTTGCTGGGGTGGTTGGTATTACTTCTGGTTTTGTTTCTCAGTAGTTTATACACAGGGTCGAATTCAGTGTGTTTATTGATGGAGTTCCAGTTAGAATACCAGGCCTCCAGGAATTCCCTGGCATGTCTGTTTGGCTTGTGCAATTATCGATGTGTTGTCCCAGTTGAATTCGTGTCTCTCGTTGACCGTGTGCAGTGAGACATGAGAATTGGTCATGTCTCTCGGTGGCTAGTCGGTATTTGTGTATCCGTATTGTCAGTTTTCTTCCGGTTTGGCCTATGTAGTGTTTCTCACAGTCCTTGCATGGTATTTTGTATATTACATCGGTTTTGCTGGTTTTGCTATGGGATCCTTTACATTCGTCAGGAACTTTGGTGAATTTCTGAAGTACATCTTATAGATTGTAAGTACTGCTACTACTGAGCACTGGAGGTGGAGGGAGTGGATGTTTGTGAATATAATGCCAATCAAGCAGGCTGTTTTGCCAAGGATAGTGTCAAGCTTCTTGTGTTGTCTAGAGTAGCACTCATTCCAGGCAGTTTGGGAGTACTGCATCACAATGCCGACTTGCGCCTGGTAGATGATGAATAGGTTTTCAGGAGTAAGGAGATGAGTTGCTCGCTGAAGCATTCCTGACTGTGACCTGGTTTTGTAGCCAGTGTTTATATGGTGAGTCCAGTTAAGTTTCTGGTCTATGTTAACTGCAGGATAGTGGAGGATTCAGTGATGGTAATTCCACTGAATGTCAAGGGGCGATGGTTAGTTTATCTCCTTTTGGAGATATCCATTGGCTGGAATTTGTGAGACACAAAATGTCATTTACCCTAAGTGTTGTTCAGCATGGATCAGCAGAGAAAGGACAGTACATGGTAATCAGCAGATTTCCTTGTCCAAGTATGACTCTGGACACCATGGTACCAGGTCAACACTAAGGAATCTCAAGGCAACTCAATCCTGACTGTATACCACAGTGCCAGAATCTTTGCTAGGGCCTGTGCTACCATTGAGACTGGA